GTTACCGATATACATATATGTGATCATAAGTGGGCGGTGCCACGCCCATTTTCCAAAATTTTACCATAAACGTATTTCTTGGTAAAGAATTGTTGCAAGCATCAATTTTGAATAAATTAGCTTTAATATTTACTGATTTATCGAGTATTTCGTATTTCTCTAAATTACCGTTATATGGGATGTGGGCGTGGTTATTGTCCGATTTTTAAAATTTTCGGCCATTTCGTATGCTGTGCGAAGGCCAACAACTGTGCCAAGTTTGGAAAAAATTGGTGTTGCGGTTACCAAGATATACACATGTAACCATAAGTGGGCGTGGCTACGCCCATTTTCCAAAAATTTTTAATATTCTTATTTTTCGCCTGAAAATTATTGTAAATATCAATTTTGAGTGAATTATCTTCAGTAGTTACTAAAATATCGCAGTTTTCTTATTTCTGGAAATTACCGTTATATGGGAAGTGGGCGTGGTTACAGTCCGATTTCGCCCATTTCCAATACCAACCTACCTTGGATTAAGGGAAACCTACGTACCAAGTTTCGTTGAGATATCTCAATTTTTGCTCGAGTTATCGTGTACACGGACGGACGGACAGACGGACAGACAGACATGGCTTAATCGATTTCTTTTTTCATTCTGATCATTTATGTATACATTTGTCTATATCTATCTCGATTCGTTTTGGCTGTTACAAACAACCGTTATGTGAACAAAATTAATATACCCTTGTGCACAAGTGCGCTCGGGTATAAAAAGTAAAAATAACAACTCGTACTCATATACCCGTAACACCGTGCACTATCAGCTAACACGTTTACTCGCATATTCGCTTGCAAGATTTTCACACAGTATTCCTTGTGCACATTTATATTACTTTTTTCGTGTATATTTACAACAATTTTAGAATGAATTTCGCTTCTCAAATTGATAGTCATCTTTTACTCAATGCAATTTTTTTTTTCATTTGGTGCACACTAGTTTTGTTACACCAGATTCGTTCGGTTTGGCAAGACGAATATTTTCACCGTTTAATTATAAAAATTAAAAAAAATCCTAAAATTTTAAAAATTACAAAATAGCTGCAGCAGATATTCTTCATGGTGCCACACTTTTGAAACTTCACAGATATGTTATATTTGATGTCAATTTTCATTGACTCTTAAATGAACATTCTATTTGAAAACTTCCTAAAGTTATTAAAAAAACATTTATGATTTTTTCGAGTGACAATGAACAAATTGGTATTTTCGGTACTGTTTCGCCTAAAAAAAACGTTTAAGGCTAAAAATGTTCTAGTACTTGGTTATAGAGAAGGTAGTGGCACTTAAAAAAAAAAAAAAAAAAACAATTCGAGAGGTTTGCTCATATAACGGTAGCTTTCAGAAAGACGAAAACTAAGATATTTCGATAAGTGAAACCATCTCATTTAAAGTTTATATTTACAATAAGAAACTTAAAACCCCACTTATGAGTACATGCCTTTTAAAATACGATATTAAGAATACAATTTGAAATAAGCTAATCTAGTTGTGGTGGCCCCACACATAGATACGCAGGTAACCGATTTATTAATTTCTGCCAAGCTCGATGTAAATATTTCTTTAAAGCTAGCAAAGCTACGGGTTGACATTTCTTCGGAGTGCTTTTAACTGTTTTTTATTGCCTAATACTAAAATTATTATTTTTTTTTAACACTTATTGTAAAAAATAAAAATTGAAGACAAACTTTTATTAGTGGTTAATAAAAAAAAGTCGACCCCCGCTCGGCCAAATGGTAATATTTTTTTTTAGGTTTTCATTCCATTTAAGTATTGGTTTATTCCATGAAAAAGAGGAAAACGACACAAAATTTTACAATGCCTTCATTACCTGTACTTCAGTAGTAACCTCTTGCTGAATGACTGCATCTTATTTGTCTGTTCAAAAACATTATTCAAATAAAAAGAAGCCGTAATTTTTGTCTAAGGAAACTTTTACTTCTTATATAATTACTTTAAACCGGTCACAATTATCTTTCCCACCATAAATATTTTTTAAAATGTCTATGAAGATTATATCAGCCTCATTTTAAATGAAAACAAAAGCGTATAGTATATATTTTACAACACAAAAAAAAACTTCCACCAAAATTAAGTGTCCTGGCCAAAATTTATCTTTTAGAGCAAAAAGGTAAAATAGAGAGATTTTCAGTGTACCACCGGTCACATTCCCCCAAATGATTGTTACAAAGAACTTATTAATCGCTTGGTATTTCTTTAAAGGAATTTTATACATTATTTATGTATCTACTATGTTAAAAGATATCTTGCGCTGATTTATAAGCCTCGACGGCATAGTTATAATTCACACTTGATCACATTCTGGAGTCAAATATCCCAACAGTCACAATAGAATGGCCCTGTTATAGGTTCTAAATATTTCCAAATATCTTGACTACTGAAGCATCTCCGAAAGACTTCAGACCAATCAGCATTTCTCCTTTCTTATTGACAACTTTTGAGGGAGTAATTGACCTGCATATAGGTAACAGGATTCCTCGAGAGTGATTGAGCCTCTCTCAGCATGCCTACTTCAAGGGTATCCATGGAATCCGCCTTGCACACAATTGTAAAAATCATAGAAAAGTCTCCTAAGAGCAAAACTTTTGCAGTTGGTGGCTTTGTTGATATCGAGAGGGGCTTTCAATAATGTACTACTAATTAGTTAGGCTCATCTCCCATATTCTGCACAAAACTGTCACGGCGGAATGGGGCAACGCCTCTGTTCAGCGTAAAGTGAGTAGAGGCACCTGGCAGGATGACGTCCTTTCATCCTCTCTCTGGTCAGTCGGGATGAACGACGTCCTGGAGGAGTTGGAAAGGAGGGTATGCCAGATTTTTGCCCACGCGGATAATGTAGCACTCATTGACAGAGCAAAGTTTTTGGAAATTCTGTGTGATCTTATGCGAGGGTAGCTAGACCTGGTCACAAATCGGTCTACTACCTGCGGACTTTCTGTAAGTCCGGGAAACATGAAGCTCATACTATTCACCAGGACGTACAAAGTGACGCGTGCCCATATTTCCCCTACTTGTTCTCTATGACAGGGTCAAGTTATTGGGTGTGATCTGGGTGGGAAGCCAAGAATTGAGCAGTGGGTAAAAAGGTATCAGTGGCCCCTTACTGCTGTAGAAATACCATGCGGAAGTGATGGTACCTCTCTCCAAGAGTTTTATGCTGGCTATATGAAACGAAAATCAAGCCGAAAGCACTAAGTTCCCTTTCCGCCCAGTGAACGGGCACACGATATTTCCCAAAAGCTTAAACTTCCCACCGGAAGAAATGAATGGGAGTGTTCCGAGGCTTGCTCCAAACAGATCCTTCTCGACGCACATCCTTCTAACGGCCGAATGGGAGTATGGAAGTCTCTGGCGTAAAGGTCCAATAAACATCTTCACGAATAGATAGAAGCTAGACGGGAGAGTTAGAGGAGGTTTTTACGATCAGGAACTCTCAATAAATCGTATGTTCCGACTGCCAGATCTCTGCAGTGTCTTTCAGGTAGAGGTGGCTGCTATACAAGGGATAGCCGATTGGCTGCGTAGCAATATTTCGCAGACTAGGAGGGAAAAATCTACTCTGATAGGCAAGCGGCAATCAGGGCGCTGGGATTGTTAACGATGCTTTCGAAACTGGTCGGGGAATGCCAGACCTCTCACTCAAACGCCTCGAAATACTTTCAAGTCATGTTCATTTCGGACACATTGACATCACTGGAAATAGCAAGGCTGATGAATTAGCCCCCGCCTTGATAGCAAGGACCTGCCTGAAAAACACTGGCCGCTTCTTAGAATGAGTAAAACACCGTGCGAAAAAAATTAATACATTCGCGAAACGAGAGGCCAAAAGTAGTAAAACTGCGTTTTTAATTTTCTCCCTGTAGACAGAATTTTTTTTAAACGACTTTAAAATTACAAGGATATAATAAATTCTAAAAAAAATATTTAAAAAATTCAGTGCAATAAAGAATAAAAATATGAAACTGTCCTTTTAAAATAGCATTCCGGAATATCTTTGAAATATATCAATATTTATTTAGAAAAAATTACTTGTTAAGTTTTAATTCCGTCCTTCTAAATTTATTAGCTTGAAATTATGAAATCACTTGGCAGGGCATTTTCAAAACCTTCTCGTCCTTGTGAACCAAAAACCCTTTTTTTATTACTAAAGAATTTTTTCTTTCATTTGGTACCTATATTGCTATTTTATTATAGTGAACTGCATTTTTTAAATTGATCATATCTATAAAATTTCAATGTCCTTAGCCCACACTTTAGTGAGCATATTGATTGTTTCGTGTGTTTTGAATTTATTTTGTTTTTGTCGTGCTCCTTCATTTGCTAAATAATCATGCAAAGTCCACTGAGAAAATTTGCTCGGTGCTGTATAAGGTTTATATCCTATGCCACTGATTGTTCAGATACAAGTTTTTCCTATATAACTCCTTTATGTAGGCAGTTAAAACGATTAAAATGTGTTACCGGTTTACCTACCGATCATACACAGCATTAAAAATTATTTACATCGGTGCTTCATAAGGCATATATTCAATACCACTAATTACACTGGTTTACAGCAAAAATGTTAAATGGATGCCTTTATCCAATTTCTATGTAGAATTGTTCGGGATTCCGAAAAACGACTTAATTTCTTTTCTATGTATACGTTTTCGAGATATTTGCAATTTACCGTTATTCAGCTTTAAACAAAAACATCCTGGATTTATATAAAAAAATATATTTATTCAAACAAAAAATGGTGGGTACGCACCATGTGTGGCAAATGGTAATCAACTATTACCACCTCTGCATGATTTCAGATCAGAGCTTCCATAATTTGACTAACAAAAAGTGACGAAAAACCTTTAAATAAAATATTTTTGCAAAATATCAACAAACCTTGTAGGAAAAGTTTTTTTTTTTTGTACACCTTATTAGAGCCTCCTCAAAGCATTCCTCACCTTTCACTCTTCACTGCACTGCATGCAGAGGCCAATTAAGTATGCTCACGAAATATGTATAAACGATTTAAATATTCAATACACCTAGTACACGCACTGGTTCATGATTTATGCAAAGTCGCTTGCTATTCAACTTAAATGTTCAGCTTCAATGCCTTTCACGGCAACGTTCACTTTAATCTGCTTTGTCTGCTGCACTTAACACTTGGCACTCAATTCACTCACTCACTTGGGCGTTGTGCTTAGCGCTTTGTACTTGAAAGCGTCTACAGTGATTTATACACTGCCACATACGTGTCAATGTTCGAAGGATACGCGCATACACCTATGTAGGTACGTACACACAGACACTCAACTAGTTACATGCATGCGTCCGTGCACGCTAGGGCATTTATTATTTGCATGAATGCTTTATAGACGACACACAAACAAGCACACACTCTTATACATATACATGTAGATGTGTGTGTTCACTTGGTTGGCGACAGTCACTTTAACTGCAGGCGCGCATGAATAAATGAGAAGTAGTTGCGCAATGCAAAAGCAATAAATAGCTGTCTGGAGTGAGTCAACCAGCGTACGCAACGTAGGACAGTAGTCCAAACAACTTTATTGTGCACTAATTTGTTTCTTACTTTATATTAAAGTCTCTTAATGTAAATCACTCGAATTGACTTAAAAAGGCTTGGCTTCAATATGAAAAAAATTCCACAAACACACACACAGCAAAATCAGACGTTGTTCATACGACGTGTAGTACCCGCTGTAATACGACCGTTCCGATTGAAACTTGCTCCGCTACTAGCTGGCACAGCAGGGATGCTGCTTGATTTCATAGCGGTAAAGTTGAGATTTTGCCAGATTATTATGAGGCTGCAAATGCGTCAGCAGGCGAGAGAGAGAGAGAGAGAGCGCGCGAGAAAAATAGTGGGAAATTCATAGCAGCAGCAAGGACAATAACAAGCAAAGGAGTGGCAGGCAAAAATATACCAAAACATTCTGTCTGCAACATTGTTTACGCCAAAATCAGCTGATTGCTGCTGGTTGAAAAATGTGTGTATATCTATTGCTGTGTGTGTGTGTGTGTGCCCATTATATATAAAGTTTTTGTTGCAAAATCCGGCGTGCGTTTATTTTATTGCTGTTACAATTGCTGGGCTGCTACTAGCACGTGCGCATCCCAAAGCTTTCGTCCATTGATTTTCAATGCTTTTGTTGTGTGTTTTGCATGACAGTTTGATATTTTTTTTTTTTTTGCTTAGCTCACGCAGCGTATACTTTACTTTTTTATGAATTTATGCTGCTTCCGAGATTGGAATGAGATTGTTTACATGCAGAATTGATTTTTAAAGTAATAATATTTGTGGTCGAGTGGCAGACGAGTAATATTTAGCAGATCAATAAAGCAGCAAATATTGTCAACATTCAAACAAAGGCGTATGGGGTTGGTTTATGATGGTTTGTGTACCGCTAATTATGATTAAAAAGCATAGATTAAAATAAATAAAATTTTAAAAATAAAATCTGAACAGTTGCAGGGTATAATTATCTACACATATACATACATATATGCACGAGTATCTCCATATATACATACATATCTTTATACATAAAATGAAGTCGGGTTAGCTACACCATTTATAACTCAATAACAGCTGGATAGAATTTTATGATCTTTGATTTGTTGAATCTACCTCCGCTCCGAGTAACAGAACAGATATTAAAAAAATGGAAAAAATCATGAAAATGTAAGAAGAAAATTTATTTTCTACTAGTTTGAACTCACCCGCTTCGTTGTGTGAATGAAATTTCTACGTGTAATGTTAAGTGCGATTTTTTGCTTGGCCAAAACCATAGAAGATACTCCCATTTTTAACCGACTTCAAAAAAAGAGAAGGTTATCAATTCGTTGGAATGGTTTTTGTTTTTTTTTTGTTTTTTTATCTATGTTGCCGCATAACTTTGGACCAGTCAACCAATTTCGATAATTCTTTTTCTGTCGAAAAGGTAGTGTCTCACATTGGACTATGAAAAAATTAACGGTACTAAATTTTTATATGAGAATTGAAGTCGGTTGTGTTTTTTGCTTAAAAATTACTTGTTGTATTTAAGCATTTATTTTTTTTTTCAAATCAAACCTTCTTAAACCTCTTGGGTATGTCACCCATATTATGATTACCTAATTCCCTTAATTCGAGTTGAGTTTGGCTCTATAAACAGGTGGAAAGCCTCAAACTTGTATTTTTGAAATGCGGCATTTTCAAAATCCTTTATATTGATACCCGTATTCTAATAACGCAGTTAACTTATTAAATAATTTGAATTTGAATATGACTTTTTAAATAGTTTGAAACCCTCTTCAAACACCTCAAAAATGTTCTAAGTGTTCAAACTAAATATTTTTTAACAGGCTTTCCTTTGACACGCATATATTTTAATACAGCACGTAATTTGTATGTAAAATTATTAAGTTCCACTTTTAAACAGATGGCAACCATTTTCAAAAATATTTTCAAACTACACCCTTCCTAAACCTCTATTTTCTGACACTCTTGTTGTTCAAGTTAAATTTAATTTTTTTTTAACAGTTGGCAACGCTTCTAAATATCATTGAGAAATAAGGCCTTTTCAAAACCATTTAGATTTATAGCCATATTCTAATATTTTATTTAACTTAATGCATTATTTGAATTGAATTTATTATTGTAACCAATTACATACCACTGTAGCGTTTTCGCAACATCTGAACTAATATTTTTTTTTTTAAATAGATAAGCTTTAGAAATTTGAAAATGGCCTTTATGCTTTACTAATTTTACAAAAAAGAGGTTAATTGCCAGACCTTTCCTCCTTCCATGTAAAATATAGGGACCCGATTTCGACTAATTTTGAAATGATTGCAATAATGCCGATGACATCGATATTATCGGTAACATAAACGCCGAAGTATGTTCTGCCTTTTCCAAGTTGGATAGCAAAGCAAAGCGAATGGGTCTGGTGGTAAGCGAGGACAAGACGAAGTATCTCCTCTCATCAAACAAACAGTCAGCGCATTCGTGGCTTGGCGCACACGTCACTGTTCACAGTTATAATTTCGAGCAAGTTGAAAATTTCGTTTACAGCAACCAATCCAACGCAAAATCACACTTGTCAACAAGTGCTACTTTTGACTCAGTAGGAAATGCAGAAGTTTTTTTTTTTATGCAAGGAGAAAGCATCGAAAGCCTGTACCCCGTAGTATGGAACTTTAATCCGAACTAAAACTCCCTGTATGTCCGCTGAACCGTATCCCCCCGGTACCACCGTAAAGTATTTCGTCGGAGGGCGGATGGGCCTAAGCTCGATCGTACGTTCCTGTTCTGATGCAGTCAGTCACAAGTTGCATCTGCTTGGTACTACCCTCAGTTAGGCATCATTTCGGTTTTTTCAACCACCACCACTGTCAATGCGTCAATACGTCCCCCCACACACACCCCCTTCTAAGAGGTCAAGTCAGTTGTCCAAAAATGGTCACGTACGTAGTTACTGTATCGTGTACATAAAACTTACCAGCCACCGTGCCAGATTATCTCCGGCATGAACTATTACGCTCTTGTCGCTTCAGCTTTGCAATGACGTTTGCCGCGACTATGCGGAATGACTGCGCAATGCAGAAGTAAAATCCTCAATAAGTCACTCGTTGTTCCCGTGCTGGTATATGGCGCAGAAGCATGGACAATGACAACAACCGATAAATCGGCTCTGGGAGTATTTAAGAGATAAATATTATGAGGAAGATCTACAGCCTTTACGCATGGGCGACGGCGAGTACCGCAGAATGGAATGGAATGATGAGCTGTATGAGCTTTACAACATGGACATAGTGCAGCGAATTTAAATACAGCGGCACCCCTATGTCGGCCGAATAGACAACGACGCTCCAGCTCTGACAGTATTTAACTCAGGACCCGGAAATAAAGGAATTCGGTTCCCAAATGCATTGCACAACCGAAGGCGAATTCTAACAAGGTTGGGTTCAAGGTGAATTTGTACAAGGTGTTGTTGTATGATCAGCTGATTTCTTGGCCTTACATGTATTTTGTTTTTGCTTTTACTGATTTGACAGCACACCCATCAAAAGCAAAAAAACAAAATACATGTAAACTTTGGAGCGAATTGAGATTTGACATAAAGCCGGTAATAAAAAATACATGTGGTTGTTGTTTTTGTGTTCTTGCTACCACCATCTATAAATTCGCCTTGGCACAACCCGTTGCTGGACGAGTTTTTCAAGATGCTATTTTATATGGAGCCGGGATTGAGACTGTAACTTCACACCCAGAATAACGATAATAAAGAGACAATAATTGAAGAGTTTGCTAATAACACTGGATCAACAATTTACTTATTTTTTGTTCACCGAATGATACTATTCAATTCCTGTGTAGAATTGGTCGCTGATTCCGAAAATCAAATTTATTTTTTTCTTTCTATGGATACGTTTTCGAGATATTTCCAATTTACCGTTATTCAGCTTTGAAAAAAGTGGTTCCAAAAATGAAGCTTGCTATGAAGAAAATCGATGGATAAATAAGAAAGGAATGAGTAATCAAATGAAAATGCACAAGGGTTTTTTGTCTGCAATATAAACAGAGAAGAGTGTTATTCAGATATACACGGCGCATGAGCAACATTCTTTGCTGCTCATAGCTGTTTTTTTTTTCGTACTCGCACATAATTTTAAATTGCATTTAAAATAGCGCACAACTAGTAGTGATTTCGTTTCTGCCAAAAAATGTTGCCTTTTTTATTGCGCCTTTCTCTTTTAGTGTTCGATTCTAAATTTATGGCAAAGGGTGAGAAAATTGTGTGCTCGTTTCTTAAAATGTCACACTCTTGTAAGGCAAAAAAGGCACATACCCTGCCCTTTGACGCTTTGTCAGGGGCGATGGTTGCCCTGAAAATCAGATGGTTGCCTCAAACGACAATGTTATGAAATGCGTGAGCTAGACAAGGATAAGAAGGCAAAAACATGCCTTTGTACAGGGTTCAGTGTAACATCAAACACATTTTGCGCCGGGGAATGTCAAATTTTTTTGGAAGAAACGAAATCACCATTAATGAAATGCAAATGAACACTATCCAAAATAAAAACATACTTCTTAAAAAAAATTGCTGAAAATTAAATACAAATTATTCAAGCTCCGACAGGTGGGTTGACAAACCGCAGACTACTATACGGCGATGCATGAGAATAAAATATCACTGAAAAGTACTGAGTCAATGACAGCAATTAGCGTGAAAATTCTGGGCCTACAGGGGTTTTATATACTTGTCAATTACATATTCCTTCCAAGTGCTTTACTCAACATGTTGCCGCTTAAGCTGGTGCTTCGTTAAATAGTTTCTAGCCCAAAAACACAACTACGCGGTCTATAGTGCTGCTTTACATTTTGTGGATAGTTGACGCAAATTCAAAAATTAAGGGCAACATCCTTTTTTCACTGCCTGCCCCATAATTAAGATTTGCTCGGTGCAGTATTGTTTGCCAACTTTTTTAGCCTGTAAATTTAAGATACTTTCCAACTTTAATTTGTCCACCTAAATAATTCTTCAACGACCTGGAATGCAAATCTACACTCTTTAAAA